AAAAAAAAAAAAAAAAAAAAAAAAAAAAAATTATGATAATGTTGTTGTTGCTCCTAATTTAAAGTGAAATAATCAGATGCAATAAATAAAAAAAAATCTAAGACTGAGGATCAGGTCAGTAGCAGAGCACTTCCTTTGTTTTATTTTTTTTCAGGACAGGGTTCTCTGTTTAGCCCTGGCTTTCTTGGAATTGGCTTTGTAGACCAAGCTGTCCTCAAACTTAGGGATCCGTTTGCCTCTGCCTCTCTAGTGCTAGGATTAAAGGCGGCAAAACATTTATTTTGTATGAATTAGGAGCTGGGTCAGATCCCCAGCACCAGAAAAATGCTTCCCATAGTTTAACACATACTCCTTAAGTGAAAAAAAAAAAAAAAAATGAACAATGTGTATAATCATATTTATAAAGACATACAAAAAGAAACCTTACTTGACAAATTTTTTCCCAGATCTCATCACAGCCAGCTTTTTCTTGAAAACTTAGAGCCAGATCATAATTTTCAGCTTCTGACCAAACAATTAATGTATCCTGTTTAAAAAAAAAAAGATTTCTCATTATCACACTAGAAAAGATATATCTATGAAATAGAAACAAAATTCAAGAGAAATGGCAGTTAAAATACATTCAAGCGACAGAGCACATCTATAAAGTATTCTGCTACACCTTTAAAGTTTCGTACTATTATCTCAATGGAAGAGAAACTTTGGCATCATATATGACACTGAGTGCCGGGGAGTGGTGGCGGTGCAAGCCTTTAATCCCAGCACTCGGGAGGCAGAGCCAAGGCGGATCTCTGTGAGTTCCAGGCCAGCCTGGTCTACAGAGCGAGATCCAGGACAGGCACCAAAACAACACAGAGAAACCCTGTCTCCAAACAAACAAAGACACTGAGCAATTTCTAAATAAGCTAAAACAGGTTACGAGGCTCTAGCTAACCCTTCTTAGGCAAGACTGTAGACTTTCCAACCATCTACTTTCTGCTGTCCAGAAGAAGTCAGCCATTCTATTCACTAACAACCTACATGCTGACCCTTTCTTTTTAACTGGTTGTTAGATGATTAGAAGCATGCAAATACCTTCAGACAAATTTAGGTTTAATCCTATTTTGTCATATATATAAAAGCTTATTTTTGCCGGGTGATGGTGGTGGTGGTGGTGGTGTACACCTTTAATCCCTCGGGAGGCAGAGCCAGGCAGATCTCCGTGAGTTCCAGGCCAGCCTGGTCTACAGAGGGAGCTCCAGGACAGGCACCAAAACTACATAGAGAAACCGTCTTGAGAAAAACCAAAAAAAAAAAAAAAAAAAAAAAAAAATTTACTTTTGTTTTATGTGTGAATGTTTGCATGTGTGGTGCTTTGAATGGTAAATGTGCCCCACAGCCTCTGACACTTGAATACTTGGTGTCCAGTTGGAAGTATTTGGGAAAGCTTAGGAGTATGGCCTTTTTGGCATTAGGATGTGGGCTTTAAGAATTCCAACATCTGTACCAGTTCCAGTTTGTTCCTGTTTCTTGTTTGTGGCTCAAGATGTGAGCCCTGAGGTCCCAGCTGTTCCTGTTGCCATGCTTCCTCACTCTAACAGTGATAGACTCTCATGGACTCTGGAAGTGTAAGCCCAAACAAACCCTTCTGTAAGTTTGCTTTGGAAATAGTGTTTTGTCACAAAAACAGAAAAGCAACAGATACGTATGCTGGTACCAGGGAATGAACTGCTGCTATGAAGAACCTAACCATGTGACTATATTTTTCCGAAGAATACGGAAGACTCTGTGGGGCTGGACTAGAAAAATAGTTGACACAGTAAGCAGAGCTTTACGGACCTTCCCAGTAGGAGACTGAAAGTGTAGTGCTGAGAGCAATGTGGGCTGTGGAGGCCTGGCCCAGAGGTTTCAGAGAGGAACAATATTAACTTGCTAGAGACCAGTTCTGTGATATTTTGGCAGTGTGTGGCTGCTTTCTGTCCTTGTCCTGAGATTAAATTAAAAAGGAACGGCAGGTGGTATGGCACACACCTTTTATCCCAGCACTCAAGAGACCAGGTCTGGTCTACAGAGCTAGTTCCAGGATAACCAAGGCTACAAAAAGAAACCCTGTCTCTAAAACAACCCCCTCCCCCAAACAAACAAACAAACGAATGAATAAATAAAAGGTAATGGACTAATTCCTTTTCCTGAGATTTCAAGACAGCCTAATACTAATACTGACTCTGTTTCATGTTTATCAGTAACACTCTTAAGCAGGAATGCAATGAATAAGAGTTAAGTGGGGTAAAAAGATTTACAGAACGCAGAGTTTGAAAACAAAAAGAACACTAGGAAACTTAATGTTATACCCAAGGCTTCTGCAAAAAGAAATGAGGAGCTTAAGGAGACGCTTGAGCTGTACTGGACAGATAAAGGGTACTGTCTTAGTTACTTTCCTTATTGCTGTGAAGAGACATCATGACCAAGGCAACTTATAAAAGAAAGCATTTAATTTGGCATTCATGGTTCCAGAGGACAGTAGAGTTTACGGTCATTATGGGGGTAGGGGGGAGTATGGCAGCAGGCAGGCAGGCATAGTGTTGGAGCAGTAGCTGAAAGCTTATATCTGATCCATAAGCATGGCACAGAAAGAAAGCTAATGAGAATGAGGTAGGCTTTTGAAACCCAACATTCAAACACATGCACCTATGGGGATCATTCTCATTCAAACCACCATAGGCGCCGCTGAGGCAAGATCCTACCCAGCTAAATGTCAAACTTGTAAAAGAGATCACAAGGTGGTTTTCTGCTGCTGCTGTGGTTTAAGTCCCATAAACAACAACAAACAAAAGCTTCTACAGATATGATTCCAGGAGGACAAGTTGGTGGCTGAACTTGGCAGTGTCAAGTACATGATGCTGGCTTTAGAGTCATGAAGGACACAGAGAAATTGGAGCCATAGAACCTTCGGTGGTTTCAGAGGGCCTCTGAGTGTGGTAGGGGATTTCCTTCACGGAACCGGAGAGGTCACTGCATGAAACTGTGCAAGTGCAGCCCAACTTGAATTAGAGATCCCCAAATGTTGAGACATTAGAATATCTGCCAAGGAAAGCTGCACACAGAGTGGAACCAGCTCAAGGGACAGGCAGGGAGCAAAGGAGGAGGAGTGGAGCCACTACCAGACAATTTGGAATTTGCCTTACTGGGTTTCTTTGCTTTGGTCCAGCATTTTCTACGCTCTCATTCCTCCCTATGCCATTATATGCTGAAAATATGTCATTTGCTTTTTGATTTTATAGGGAGTTGCAGTTAAGTTATTGCTTTGAGTCTCAGAAGAGACTTTTAACTTTTACAGTGTTAAGACTGTAAAAGACTAGGGACTTTTAAGTTGGACTACACGCATTTTGCATTATGGTATGGCCGAGACTCTGGGTACCAGGGAGCAGAATATGGTGGTACGTCCCTCATACACTCTGTCATTTGAATATTTGGTCCCTGTTGGTACTGTATGGGGAGGCTTAGGAAGCGTGGCCCATCAGCAGTTTTCAGAAAGAATAACCTGATTTATTTATTTATTGTTCATAGAGTATCCTCAATTGTGCCCTTAATTTTAAAAGGTTTTCAAACTCTGTATTTCTAAGATTTAGATTTAATTAAAATACACACATATACACATTAAATTCACTACGTAATAATCTAATAAAACAAACGAACAGGGTTGTTTTGGATACAAAGTAAATTTTTGTTTTAAAAACATAGGTGAAACCAACAAGGCTTTGATCTCAGCACTTGGGAGGCAGAAGCAGGTGGATCTGTGAGGTTGACGCCAGCCTGGTTTACATTGTGAATTCCAGGCCAGTCAGGATTACATAGTGAGACCCTGTAACACTAATTAATTAATTAATTATTTTGGTAATTAATTAAATTTTAAAAAATGAGAAATGGGGCTGGAGATGTGGCTCATCTGACAGAATGTGTCTAGCATGCATGAAACCCTGGGTTTGACACCCCCCCCCCCAACCAAACTGTCCTAGTAATTTTTCTGTTAGTATAATAAACTACATGACTGAAACAACTGGAAGAGGAGAGTTTATTCATTTTCATCATTGAGGGAAGCCAAAAAGCCAAAACAGGAATGCATGGCAGTAATCTGAAGGTAAGAACAGAAACAGAGATAATGGAGGAAAGCTGCTTATTAGCTTGCTCAGTTTATCTGCCTACATCTGCCATGGAATGGCAATGCTTACAGTGAGCTGTGCCCTTCTCCATCAATCAGTAACAAGAAAATGCTCCACGACATGCCCACCAAGCAACTGATGGAATCAATTTTCCCTTTTCTTTTAAATTTATTTATTTATTTTACATCCCAACTCCAGTTTCCTTTCCTTCTCCCCACACCCCCAATCCACTCCTCCCTTTTTCTTCAGAACAGGGTAGGCCTCCCATGGATAGCAACAAAACATGGCACATCAAATTGCAGTAAGACTAAGCACCTCCCCTTGTATTAAGGCTGGGAAAGGTAAACCCAATATGAGGGAGGAATAGGGTCCCAAAAGACAGCAAAAGAGTTAGACAGAGAGACACCCCTGCTCCCATCGTTAAAAGTCCCACAAGAAGACCAAGCTACACACATAACGCAGAGGGCCTAGGTCAGTCTGGCATCAATTTTTCAATCAAGGTTCCTTATTCCCAAGTGACTCTAGTTTGTGCCAAGTTGGCAAAAACTAACCAGCACACACATAGCTGGGTGTGCCTGCAATCCCAGCTAGCATTTTGGAAATCTTTGCTCTACCCTTTTCTTGATTATATACCTTAAAAAGGAAATCTGCCATCAAAATTATTATTTCAAATTTTATGAGGTGCTTCAGTTGCTTATACCATCTACAGATGTGCTTTCAAACCCTTTTTAAAAACTAGTAGAAGGCAGCACTCGGGAGGCAGAGCCAGGTGGATCTCTGTGAGTTCGAGGCCAGCCTGGGCTACCAAGTGAGTCCCAGGAAAGGCGCAAAGCTACAGAGAAACCCTGTCTCGAAAAACCAAAAAAAAAAAAAAAAAAAAAAAAAACTAGTAGAAGGGAGATGTGTAGAGAGATGGTTCAGCAGTTAAGAGCACTTGTTGCTATTGCATAAGACCAGAGTTTGGTTCCCAGCACTCATATGGCATAGCTTGTAAGTGCCTGTAACTCCAACCATAGGGGAGTTATACTCTCTTCAGTCTTCTGCAATACCTGCCCCCATGCATACACATACATTCACTCACACACACACACACACACACACACACACACACACACACACACACACACCAATCCTAAGGGACGTGTGGGGGCAGGTAATAAAAAAAGTTCTAAAGATAAAGGCAGAGCAACTATAGTCAGGTCCATTTAATGCATCTGGGCACCCACTCTGGTTCTCCACCTTCCCCTTAGTCCAAATCATCTTAACAACCCATTTGAAGATTCATGAATAATAGTCTCTAAAACATGGATTATGTCTTAATTTACTAATATCTTATATACAAGCTGAGTGTGGTGGTGTACACCTTTAAGGAGGCAGAGGCAGGTGG